TTCAGTTATTTGTAATGAATCCAGAATGTTGTGTACATTTTTGTTTTTTAATTGCGATACAGAACAATAAATAACTTGTATCACATATTCTAATTTTCTGAGACAGTCCTGTATGCCACAATTTACGATGCATGATTTTGAAACTAATACGTTGCGCTGTGGACAACAGTATTAATTGACATGGGGGAAGGGGGTAGCAATAAAGATACAACCATTAAACAGTTACACAACATAACAGAAAAAATATCGATAGCAGCGTCCCTTAGCAACCACCTTGGTAACAATGAAATAGCGTTGGTATAGACACATTTTCCTGAGCAGTAATCTTCGTAAGTAACTAGCAAATAAAGATTCAGTGTAACATCCACTGCACACATAATTTGAAATAACAACTAATATTTCTCGGCATTCAAATGGACAGTCAAAACGCATGTAATGGCAGAAACTAACTCTATAAATAGATTTTTACACCGAGAATAAAACGATAGTTCGCCACATGTTTTTTTTTTCTGCAGGGAAAAATCGTGAAGATCACGTGACATAGACGCCAGCCATTGGAATGAATGGTGAAAAAAAACGTAGGGATCTTACAATTTCAGAGGCGTTTTTGTAGTAGAAATACTACGTCATACGTTGTGGACCAACGTAGTCATTACACGTTTTTTTGTGAGACTGGGTTGAAAATACAACTAATGTGTTGCGTTATATTAGCTGTACAATTTACCACATATGGTGTTCTTAGTTTCCATACCTCCTGTGTTTTATGAGCGACTTATCAAGTCTTAGCAAACGGCATACAACATGATTAAACATGATAGTATATAAAACCATGCTCGTATACAACCTATAGAAATCCAAAACGGCGTCAGTTTAGAATGTAATTCTGTCCTCCTGCTTACCGCATCATTTATGAGAAAACATTTAATAACATTAACACAACATATTCGAAGTGGTTTTAAATAACATATCCGTATTTATTTATTTCTCCAAGTTATGTTTTTGTGTGCACTGAGGAGTCTCAAACAGGCGTTTGTTAAATCATTTTAAGATTGGCTTTAATCAATGTTTGAAAATGAATTCTTCATATATGATAAATGAGAGGTAACATTTTATTTATGGTATTATTTCCACATATTTCTCTCCATTCTTCCTTCTGCCAACGGTGTCGCACTTTCTCGTCTCTCCCGTTTTTGTGCTTAGTGCGTACGCATGGGTTAGAGTTTTCGTGGAGGACCGCATGTTTTCCCGTCAAGTTAGTATTTTATAAATCGCAAACATTGAGTAGAAACTGCCGTAAGCCATTTTTTGAGCGTATATCCCTTTATAAATGAGGCCCCAGGTCTTTGTGAGGTTGAAGCCAGCCTCGTCAATAAAAATAAATTAATGTCTGATGACATCAGCATCCATTTCCAGTACTCTCTGAAAACAAAAATTACAGTAACATCAATCAAAGTGGTTTGGACAAGTACAAAAAAATGCTGTGCTATGTGTGGATTACTGAATCAATGGTCTATTACAGTACTTTAGTCAATGTTGTACTTACATCCGCATATTGATGTCTCAGGTCTTTCACCCTTTCAGCATTTCTCTCAAAGGGCACCCTGTACAGCTGTTTCATCTGAACCTGGTTACGCTGGAGAACACGGGCCAATGTGGACAGGCTGACTTGCCTGATGTTGTTGAAAATGGTGTTGTTCCTTATGATGTGGCTTCGGATCTCTCTAAGTGTGATGGCATTGTGTACCAAAACCAAGTTTGTAACTGCTGCTTCCTGTGCCTCATTGAAAATCCTTAACCTTCCACCTGCACCTCTTTTTTTCTCAGTCCTTCAGATAAACAACAAAGATATAGTAGTCGGTCAGTTTCTGTGTTGCATAACAGTAAGTCTACCACAGTACATTGTGCAGGATTTTTGTACAGTATAGTATGCAACATGCCAACAATTAAATTACAGTAATGAAGTAAATACGTTTCACACAACAGATATAAGCACTGATATATCATGAATTATGCAGAGCT